AAAGGAACTCTCTGTACTATTTTTGCAACTTAAAATAATTTCAGAATAAAAAGGCTTAAAACGGTCAGGCGCGGTGGCTCACGACTATAATCTTAGCACTTTGGGCGGCCGAGGCGGGTGGATCATCTGAGGTCAGGAGTTCGAGTTCGAGACCAGGCTGGCCAACATGGCTAATAAAAAAATTAGCTGAGCGTGGTGGCCCGTGCCTGTAGCCCCAGCTACTCAGGAGGCTGAGGCAGGATAATCGCTTGAACCCGGGAGGTGGAAGTTCCAGTGAGCCGAGATCACGCCATTGCACTACAACCTGGGCAACACAGTGAGACTCTGTCTCATAAGGCTTAAATAAATAAGAATAAAAAATAAAAAATAAAAAGCAAGAGACTAGGTTTTGGAGTCAGGTAGACCTTGGTTCATGCATGGTTTGTTCCCTTCTAGTGGGCGGCATGCTGGAGTGGACTTAGGAGTGATGTTGTACAATTTCAGGGATTTTGCAGGTCAGTTACTAGACATAGTCATTTTTAACAATTAAATATTACAAGTTTACAATATACCAAAACAAAGGTAATTACTTAAAACTCATTTCCTATTTACTTGAGCCTATTAATGATTATCCGCAGTAGTTATGTTCTATAAAGTTGCCGGGAACACTGAACTAGTGAGTGCAATACTAGAACCTTTGCTTCTGGAGGAACTACCGAAGAAGGTATTTCCTGTGAAGGTTTAGTCCAGGCCTGCAGTTCTCCAGGGCTACGCGGGAAAGGTGGGGGCCTCCTGAAATCCTCTGGACACAATATTTCCATCAACTGCTCAACATATAACCTTGTTTCCTACCCTTCCATTTAAAGACATCTCATTTGATATCTATAGTCGGTTCATGAACATTGCACTCACGGCCAACAGCACTACAACTCACGCTCGATAACACACGATTTCTCCATAAGGCACATCCCGGCTTTCCCACGCTTAGGAACGCTAGCCAGCACTTAAGCACTGTACTTGGAGGCCATTTTAAACAGTGAGATCACCAAGCAAAAGCATAAAAATGTAGAAAATGAAGCACAACATAGACTGTGCAAGGGACACCTGTGTACAGCGTGACAGGTGAACAAGACGGCGAAGCGTTGCTACGTTTGACCGCAGCTGAAAATGTGCATGTTGGGCAATGCATCTTTCATCCCTCTACACATCCCCATAAATGACCATGAAAACACAGTGAGTATTGATTTTGGTGCTGCAAAATACACAGTTGATCCTCGCTATGCATGGATTCTGTCTTTGCAAATTCCCCTACTTGCTAGTTTTAGTTTGGTTTTTACTTGCTAAAACTAGCAAGTAGAAATTCACAAAGATAGAATCCATGCATACCGAGGATCAGCTGTGTATTCTATTATCTGAGGTTATTTCCCTGCCTTGTATCTGTTTAGTGGAAATAGAACTGTGCTATCACAGATATCTTCCCAACTCTTGTGTGCAGTGACTCAGGTCACCCTCGTTACTTGTAACTGACCACAGTGGGAGGATTTACACTACGGAAACTGGCAAATGCTACACATCGGGGCTTGATTTGTTGATTTTCTCCATCACTTTCTTAAACCTAGACAATGTTAATAATGCAGATTCACCTTAAAACTGTATCATACCTGGAACCATTATATTGCAAATAATACAAAAAGTTGAGGAAATGTTCCAGTATTCAAAAACTACTGAATACTGATTCAGCAAAGTTGTCACTCCATGATTGATGAACAAATGACATTCTGAGGGTTTCAATTTCACCTTAATCATTAATACAATAAAATGACAAAATGAGGCCAGGTGTGGTGGCCCATGCCTGTAATCCCAGCACTTTGGGGGGCCAAGGCTCAGGAGTTCGAGACCAGCCTGGCCAATGTGGCGAACACCCATCTCTACTAAAAGAATACAAAAATTATCTGGACATGGTGGTGTGCACATGTAGTACCAGCTACTCAGGAGGCTGAGGCAGGAGAACCGCTTGAACCTGGGAGGTGGAGGTTGCAGTGAGCGGAGATCGTGCCACTCGCACACTCCCAACCCATGGGCTCTGACAGAGTGAGATTCTGTCTCAAAAAAAGAAAAAAAAAAAAAAAAAGACAAATCGATGTTTGAGCTACACCTCTTGTCAATATGTACAAGCACTGGCTCTGATAAAAATCTAGAAGCATTGGAGAACCAATCATCAAAGGGAATTTAACCCACCGATATTATTGATTTTTTTTTTTTGTTTGTTCTGTTTTTTTGAGAGTCTCACTCTGTCGCCCAGCTGAACCGCCCGCAAAAAAAAAAAAAAAAAAGAAAGACTTGTCAACTACAACAACATACACAAGCAACACATACAAGACCAACCAACTGGGTTCAAGAGATTCTCCTGAAACACACAGCACACAACAACCGAGGAGCTGGGATTACAAAAGACAAACAAAGACAACACCAAAACAAACAACACATAAATTGAAATAAAATTAAGAAGAAAGGTTTTTCACAACAAAGATAAAACACAAAAAACAGACATAACCTCGAACTCCTGACCTTAAAAGAATATCCATCACCTCAGCCTCCCAGAATGTTGGGTTACACGGCCTGAGCCTGCCATGCCCCAGCTTTATGTATTTCATTAGACAGATTATTATGTATTTTCCATTTGTAAGTTGTGTCCTATACATCCTATTATCAGGGACCAATATAATTGTAGGTGCATTCATTTCCAGAGAGCTGCTGTTAACGGACACGCACCTACACTGTTTTCTAGCTGAGTGCCTCAATTACTTAACCACTAGCCTTCAAGCTTCAAGTGTAAAACAAAGAAGGAAATAAACCAGTCCTTCCTTGAAAGATTTCTGAGGATTGAATGCAAATTTTTTCCATACATTGTTGTCCAGGTAGCAGACTTCAGGAACCTCAGTCCTTCTTCCCCACGCACCTCCCTGGGGACAGACCCCAGTGGACAAGATTCATCCCTGTGCACGCCCACCCCTACGTTTCCCCAGAGTGGTCCTTGTTGCCTGGGAACCTGAAACCCGTCCACAGGTGGGGAAAACTCCGACGCAACTAGGGGCGGGAGCAAGATGCCTTTGATGGTGTGGTCCTTCAAGACCATGTAACGCGATTCAGAATACTGTGGGCATACTCGCTCTCCCACCCTCCCGTGGGGAGAGAGAGGATAAATGGTTGGTCCAAGTCTGCCTGCACCCATGGTGCTGCAATTCAAGAATCCCCACCTCCTAAGTGACCCAGCATTGGCACCCTGAGAAATGAGAACCCTTGAGAGCCCCCGTTTGGACAACTGTTAAAATGTGGATTGAAATCTTCGGCCCGACCCCAGTTGCCCTCCTGCAAAAACTCCACCTGCTTGTCGTCCTAGGCACACGGCATGCTGTGACTGTTTCGCGGCTGTTTAATAAAATCGGGCCCATCCCCCGGTGAGTCTCACCCTAATGAGGAGTCCAGCAAAGCCCAGCCTTCTCCACCCCCCATCCTTCCTGCGCAGATCTCTCAGGATCAGCGTTTACAGTATGTGCTACCTGACTTTCCCAGGTAACCATGCTTAGAGGCTCTCTAGAAACTGGATTTTTTTAAGGAGGTGATTCCATTGCGCACAACCTTAGAGCTGCAAAGTGACTGGGGTCAATGACAGCAGAAGGTCGTTCCCGGCACTTTCTCCTCGCCCCTCCTCATCTAGGTCTGGCCCCTGGATTTCCTGGAGGAGCAACTCTCCTTATTCTTTTTCAGGGAGTTGACGATGTTTCTGGAGTCTTAGCCCAGGTCTGCAAGGATGACCCTGCCACCTACTGGTGAGATGTTCGCTCCCCACGCAAAGGGCGTCTCACTCCTTAGCTCCCCAGGCTTCCATCTGGCTAGCTGTCCCATTGTCCAAGATTGCTCAGGGCGGGCGCGGTGGCTCAAGCCTGTAATCCCAGCACTTTGGGAGGCGAGATGGCGGATCACGAGAGTCAGGAGATCGAGACCATCTCCTGGCTAACATGGTGAAACCCCGTCTCTACTAAAAAATACAAAAAACCTAGCTGGGCGCGTGGCGGGCGCCTGTAGTCCCCAGCTACTTGGGAGGCCTGAGCAGGAGAATGGCGTGAACCCGGGAGGTGGACGCTTGCAGTGAGCTGAGATCAGGCCACTGCACTCCAGCCTGGGTGGCAGAGCGAGACTCCGTCTCAAAAAAAAAAAAAAAAAAAAGAACTTGCTCAAACTATTTTCCCCCTTAAAAGCCAAATAGGCAACATCACCACTTGAGAATGAAAATCATTAAAACCACCATGATTAGTTCTCTGCCTGCATGGAATTTACGAATACTGATTTTGTTGACTGTAAACATAGCTGGCTTAATTTATTTCTGCCAGTTATATCCCGACACCTCCATTAATTATTTTATTTTGATGAATAGTTTTACACATCTGGGAGGATTCTGGTCATTCTAATGATATCTTCTTGAAGCTCTTCCAAGATGGATCAATACTGACCATGAAACATCAGATTCTTCTAAAGTGCAGACATCCCTCTTTACCTGAAACACAGCAAAATGTTATCCAGTGTTCTTCAACAAAACCAAAGACAAAGGCGGATTTTTTATAGATTTTAACCCTAGAGGAAATTCCTAGGTGTCTAGGTGGTGGCTCTCCAAATACAAGTCTGACAACTGCATTGCAGACTGCTGCCAAGGAAACAATGACAAAGACCTTTTTTTTTTTTTTGAGACAGGATCTGCTCTCTTCCCCATGTTGGAGTGCAGTAGTACCATCATGGCTCACTGAAGCCTGGTGACTTAAGCGACTGCAACCAGGTAATTAAAAAAAATTTTTTTTTGTAGAGATGGGCTCAAGTGATCCTGAGTTCAAGTGATCCTCCTGCTTCGGCCTCCCAGAGTGCTAGGATTACAGGTATGAGTCACCATGCTTGGCCTGACAAAGTCTTAATAACAACTTTGAAACAGATAATTTGCTCAGAATGAATGCAAATGACCACAAAGACAGTTTTCCTTTTCTTCAGAGTTTATTTTGAATTTTCATTTTTGGATAACCAAGCAGCTCTTTAAGAAGAATGCACAGAAGAGTCATTCTGGCACTTTTGGATAGTACATAAGATTTTTTTTTTTTAAATTTTTTTAATAGTCACATTCAGCCCACTTGCTCAATCCAGACTCCCACGCTGGGTGAGCAAGATGAGTCCATAGGATTCCAGAGTTAATACGTAACCGTATATACAAACAGCCAAAAAACCATAACGGTGCCACAGGGATGGAACAGGGAAGGGCATCTCTAACGTGTCCTCTAGTCTATCTTCGCTAAACAGAACCCACGTTACACATGATAACTAGAGAGCACACTGTGTTGAAATGAGGATGCTGACCCCAAATGGCACTTGGCAGCATGCAGTTTAAAGCAAAAGGGACATCCTTTAATAACTGTATAAAATCCAGGCAGTTTCATTAAACGAGTTAATAAAACCAACAACAACAAAAAGCGAGGGACTGTCTGTTGTCACTGTAAAAAAGGCACTTGGAGTTAATGGGACCAGGATTGGAGGACTCATAGCTGATACAGATTTCAGTACGATTTCATTAAAAGGCTTGGATGTTACGAGAGGACACTCGGCGGTTCCTGAAGGGAGACACTGAGATGGACTGCTGAGAAGCAGAACAGATGAACACAAAGGAATCAACTCTTTACAACCAAATTGCATTGAAGCAACAACAAAAAAAGGCAAACCCCAAAACGCAACCTAACCAAAGCAAAATCTAAGCAAAATCAGACAACGAAGCAGCGATGCATAGCTTTCCTTCCAGAGAACGCATACCTTGAGACGCTACGTGCCAACCTAAGTTCTCAATGACAGCTTCACAGTAGGATTATTGTGATAAAAATGACTCAAGCGATGCAAAAAGAGTTTCATCTGTTCCCAGAATCAGAGGGAGAACTGAGGTGATCGTTAGAGCGTAGCGACATCACGTGCGGTTTCTTAATGTCCCTGGTGGCGGATACATCAAGTCCCCGGAAGGACATCTGGACACCACTTTCAGCCACCTCCTTGCAGGGGCGACATCCGCCAAAGTCATCCTTTATTCTGAGTAATAACTTTAATTCCCTTCTAACATTTACACGGCAAACAGGAATGCAGTAAACGTCCACGTCCGTCCCATGGCGGGGCTGCCGTTCCGTTTCCTCCACGAATGGGTACGCGCTTCCATGAGAAAGGATATTTGGCAATTTTATATTCCACAGTCAGGTGGCTCTGCGATAGCTCATTTAATGTTAAACGCCATCAGGGGCCTCTCCTCCCGTTTCTGCCAGGGGCTTTTCTTGTCTTCTCCTTGGTCATCATCATCATCCTCTTCCTCTTCCTCGTGGGCAGATCTTCTCTGATGGGGGCTGACGGCTGGCTCCGGGGGGGCGTCCGCAGTCCGTCTGGTTGTCTCCTCCTGCAGGCTGGGCAGCTGGCCACCACTTCTCCGACTCGACCCCTCCAACAAGCATCGCAGGGCACTGTCCTCGGGGGTACAGACCGTGGTCCCACACTCGCTGCCACTCTGTTCCACGTCATCCAGGTACACGAGCTGCGTGTAGGCCGTGCTGTCTGGGGCTCGAGGCTCTTTCTGCTGGTGCTCTTGGACAGGTGGGTAGTTCTGCTGCAGAGACAAAGCGTCTCCCCTTCCCTTCCGGGCAGATTTTGGTTCATTCATATCCACGCCAGAGTCCAAACTGGCATCATTACTTCCGTTCCTTCCAGCTCTTTGGAGATCAATGTATGAATGTCTAACGTGAGCGTTGGACCTGCCATCCAAGGAGACGAACCACGCCCGGGGGTGTGGAAGTGGCTTCCCACCCCCAAGCTCCATCAGCGCCTTTTCAGTCAGGAGCTGCACCTCACTGTTCATCTGAGCCAAAGCCGCGTCGTTCAGGGAAGCTGGGATGGAGAGAGACTCCGACATGGATGCATTCTGAGGGCTCCACTCCCGGGTGCCTGCATCCTGCAGGTGCTGCTGAGAGATGGCCTGGGAAGCCAGGGGCTGGGGCTGGATCTGCGAGGACGGGTGTGGGAAGATCCCGGCATGGGGACTGGACAGCTCAGCCTGTAGTCTTTCTAGTTCAAGCTGTTGATCAGCCGGGACGACCAGAGGCTGGCTGACATAGGAGTGGTCCCCGGGGAGTTTCATATAATGAGCCGGGATGACCAAGGCGGGCAGCACCTTCCTGTAAACGCTGTCATTGACCTGGTCGACAGAACTGCAGCAGATCAACTGGCCGGGCCGCGGGAAGGACGTAGGTCTCTCGAGGTGATCGACCGATCGCGACATCATACATTCAGTTGGTCTGCGGTCCAGCAGCTGTTCTTTCTCAGGCGATGAAGGTGCGGGATACAGATGTTCCTGAATGGTGAGTTTGCTTCCTGCAGACGCTGGACCTTCTCTGTCCTGCTTTTCAAATAAAGGCTGTGAGAGCATGGTGTTGTAACTACCCCTGTAGTCAGCATTGCCCGAGGACTCGTAGCCTTCTCTTTCCATAGATTTTCTTGCCTTTAAGGGAAAAACCTCCACTGACTTATGGTAGTCTTTCCCCAGCGTCCCGCTTGGCGTGAGGTTATCAAAGGAGATCTGGCTTTTATCCTCTTCCTTGCAAGACAGGAGCTCCTCCCGGGAGCTAAATTCCTGGGAGGTGCTGTAGGAGAGCTTGAGCATGGGGGTGTGCAGGTCCCCTTCCCCGCCAGGAGACATCATTTCCAAATGGACTCCACTCATCAGCTCCTTCGTGCCTGGGGCCTCGGGGCGGCCGTGGCTGGTGACGGACAGCGGGCCAGGGAATTCTGATGCTCGGCGCGAAAACAGCAAGTTGATGTGTGACATGGAGGTGGACTGGTCTCTTTTGGAACTCTCCAGTCCTGCAGGGAGCTGCAGTTTTCTGTGGTGCTGACGAGGTTTCAAGCACTTCCTCCTGCGACCAAAGACACAATCCAAACCCAAAGATTAGCGATTCTCACAATGGAAAAGCTTCAAGTTTCAGGTAAAATCCTAATTCTCAATTTCCACAGGGAGAAACAAGACAAAACAAGCCATCAGCAGCCAGAAGCCTTCTCACCCCACACCCTGTCCTTTTTTTTTTTTTTTTTTTTTTGAGACAGCATCTTGCTCTGTCGCCCAGGTTGGAGTGCAGTGGTACGATCATAGCTCACTGCAGCCTCGACATCGTGGGCTCAAGTGATCCTCCCACCTCATTCTCCCAAGCAGCTGGGACCACAGGCACACGCCACCATGCCCAGCTAATTTTTGATTTTTAGTTTTTTGTAGAGATGGGGTCTCCCTGTGTTGCCCAGGCTGGTCTTAAACTCCTGGCCTCAAGCAGTCCTCCCTCTTCGGCCTTCCAAACTGCTAGGCCACCATGCCTGGCCCTTATCCTTATTTTAACCCAGAGTAGGATAATCCAGAGATTTCATCTTTTATTGTCTGGAGAGCCCTTTGCCTAAATGAATTAAATGTATGACATACATTTTTCTATGACTTAAAAAAGTTAACAACTTTTTATTAAAAAGTTAACAACTTTTTATTAAAGAGTGTCAAATGTGACTAAAATGCTTTGCGTTTTTAAAAATAAAATTTTCCTCTATAATGCCTTTTTAAAATAGCTAAACTTAAAGGCTTTTATAAGCCAAATTACTTATTTCAAAGGGGTTAGTCAAGAGTTGACAATAAATATTCTTGCAAACTGATCAGACACAGCATCCAAATAAGAATTTTTTTTTTTTTTTTGACTGAGTTTTGCTCTGTCACCCAGGCTGGAGTACAGTGGTGCGATCTTGGCTCACTACAACCTCTGCCTTCTGGGTCCAAGCGATTCTCCTGCCTCAGCCTCTTGAGTAGCTGGGATTATAGGTGTGTGGCACCATGCCCAGCTAATTTTTATATTCTTGGTAGAAATGGAGTTTTGCCAAGTTGGCCAGGCTGGTCTCGAGCTTCTGACCTCAAGTGATCCGCCCACCTTGGCCTCCTAAAGTGCTGGGATCACAGTTGTGAGCCACCGTGCCCGGCCCAAATAAGAAGAGTTCTGCCTTGCCCTTGAGAGTATCATCTCTTAACCAGCGTTTAGGGATACTCTGAATAAATCATATGACCATTGTTAAACCCTTTTTCATAATTCCCCTTCTAAGCAATGTTATCCACGCAGCATGCTTTACACATACTATTTGTTAAGTTGCAACTTAGATCACAAATGTGAGTTCTTACTTTTTCATGGGAAGAAAAAGTACTTCAATTTAGAAAAAAAACAAAAAAACAAAAACAACCCACCTCCATATCAATGCTTCTAAGTATCAATTGCCCAAGAAATTGTGAATTAAAAAAGATATTGCCAAAATGGTAAAACTTTACCTGCAATAATATAAAAGGAGACACAGCAAAACCAAAAGTATGAAAGCCATTCCTCCTAAAATGGCCAAAAGAAACACCGTGTGATACGTGGTAATGTCCTGTGTTACAACGGGACCTAGAAGGTCAGAAAATGGCATTTAGAGTTTTGAACACCTTTAACTCAAAAGAGGGATCATTCATTGAGAACACAGTGTCTTGTGCTTACTCTTCTTGGCTGGGGCATAGAGCAGTGGCCAGAGGAAAACACCCTTGGATCACGCACTTGGGGTACCACCAGCATTGCATTAGTGATTAGCACGACTATTATGGAAGCTCCCATGGCCAGGAGAACTTTGAATACTCAAAGACAAGATGTGGTTACGTCAAGGGCCCCCCACTAAGCGGAGAAGTGTGCCTTACTTGGTAGCATGTGCCTTCTTTGAAATACATGGCCTTTTAATTTTAATTTTTTTTTTTTTTGAGACAGGGTCTCATTCTGTCACCCAGGCTGGAACACAATGATATAATCATGGCTCACTGTAGCCTTGACCTCCTGGGTTCCATCAATCCTCCTGCCTCAGCCTCCAGAATAGCTGAGACTACAGGCGTGCACCACCACATCTGGCTAGTTTTTGTATATTTTTTTAGAGGCAGTGCTCTCACTATGTTGCCCAGGAGGGTCTTGAACTCCTGAGTTCAAGCAATCTGCCTACCTCGGCCTACCAAAGTGCTGGGATTATAGGCATGAGCCACTGTGCCCAGCCATGTGATCTTTTAATGCAAGAAAATGAACGCATGATGATTTAATGACTGGGACTCTCACCTTCAGAACGATGGCCTGACTATCTGGGAATTTTATATTGCAGGGGAGCAAAAAAAAAAAAACAACCCACAAAGTTTTATTCTTGCTTTTCCTGGGCAGTCAATCATTACTGTCTGGAGAGCCCTTAGTCTAAATAAACCAGTTTAAATGTATGACATAAATTTCCTGTGACTTAAAAAAGTCAACAACTTTTAAAACTTAATACAGGTATCAAATATGACTAAAATGATAACCATCTTTAAAAACAAGATCTTTTTTATGCCTTTTCAAAATAGCTAACCTTACATGGCCACAGATCTCTTTAGAACTTATACATAAGGTTACCAAAGGTAAAAATATTTTAAGTTTATGTTGTAAACAATCCCAAGAGGTAGCTTAACTCACATTTTATGTTCCATAGTAGTACAAATCTATCTTAATGTTACTAACAACAGATCAACGACAACAAAAACCTCCCCACATGCCAATATTTAGGTATTTATTAGTGTCCGAGTTTCCTGGCAGTGTACGAATACATGGGTCAAAATGAACTGGTTCCTTTTTTTTTTTGAGACGGAGTCTTGCTCTGTCGCCCAGACTGGAGTGAAGTGGCCGGATCTCAGCTCACTGCAAGCTCTGCCTCCCGGGTTCACGCCATTCTCCTGCCTCAGCCTCCCGAGTAGCTGGGACTACAGGCGCCCATCACTTAGCCCGGCTAGTTTTTTGTATTTTTTAGTAGAGATGGGGTTTCACCATATTAGCCAGGATGGTCTCGATCTCCTGACCTTGTGATCCACCCGTCTCAGCCTCCCAAAGTGCTGGGATTACAGGCTTGAGCCACCACGCCCGGCCATGAACTGGTTTCATATTATTTCAGAGTAGCATGGTTTTGATTACTAAACACCACAGACACCCATTTGCTTATTTTTGATTTTTGATATTCTAAGACATAGATTTCTTTAAAAATCTTCTTAAGGGGACAAATCTCCTAATTTAAGACCTAGATAAACCCAAGATTTACCAGTTTTTAAAAACAGTGATGTTACTTAAATTCACGAGAAACACCATTCTCTTTCAGATATAATTACTTCAGTGGAGTGGGAGGAGGGGGTTAAAGTTTACAAAAATTGGAAAAATAACTGACAATTAAATACTGGCTTACTTGTTCAGAGAAATAATTTTTTTTTTTTTTTTTGAGATGGAGTCTTTGCTCTATCATCCAGGCTAGAGTACAGTGGTGTGAACTCAGCTCACTGCAATTTCCACCTCCTGGGTTCAAGTGATTTTCCCGCCTCAGCCTCCTGAGTAGCTGGGATTATAGGTGCCCACCATCATGCCTGGCTAATTTTTGTATTTTTAGTAGAGATGGGGTTTCACCATCTTGGCCAGGCTGGTGATCCACCTGCTTTGGCCTCCCAACGTGCTGGGATTACAGGCGTGAGCCACTGTGCCTGGCCCAGAGAAACAATTTTTTTTAATGCAAAGACAATTTCCACGGATGTACCAAAGCTTTGTCAGGAGTCACCAAGACACTTAGGGTACACGTAAAAATATTTCCAAATACTGATGCTTTGTCCTTTAAGTACTCCAAGCATTATTTTTTTGTTTTGTTTTGTTTTGTTTTGTTTTGAGACGGAGTCTCACTCTATCACCCAGGCTGGAGTGCAGTGGCATGATCTCGACTCACTGCAACCTCTACCTCCCAGGTTTGAGCAATTCTCTTGCCTCAGCCTCCCGAGTAGCTGGGACTACAGGCGTGCACCACCACGTGGCCTGGCTAATTTTTTGTATTTTTAGTAGAGATGGGGTTTCAACGTGTTAGCCAGGATGGTCTTGATCTCCTGATCTCATGATTCGCACACCTTGGCCTCCCAAAGTGCTGGGATTATAGGCATGAGCCACAGCGCCCGGCCAGCATTATTGTTTTAACCTCTGCCAGTGCAATTCTTTATAAAATTCACAGCTATATTTCACTTCCTTCTTAAACAAGGAGTTAAGGAACACAACCTACATTATTTTGTTGTTGCTTTTGAGTTCATAAAAGTCCAATATTAGTATAATTTGTTGTTATAAAGGTGCGTTGTGAGATGACTGACATATGTATCCCCACATTAAATACCATTAAAGGCTGTAGTGGGTATGCTTTGTGTTACTTTTGAGATGGGGTCTCACTCTGTCATCCAGGCTGGAGTGCAGTGACATGATCATAGCTCACTGCAGCCTTGAACTCCTGAGCTCATGGGATCCTCCTGCCTCAGCCTCTCAAGTAGCTGGGACTACCAGTGAATGCTACTATCCCTGGCTAATTTAAAAAAAAATTTTAGAGATGGGGTCTTGTATTGCCCAGGCTGGTCTTGAACTCCTGGGCTCAAGAGATCCTCCTGCCTTGACTCCCAAAGTGCTGGGATTACAGGTGTGAGTTACCATGCCCTGGCCGGTGTATGCTTTTTATAGCCTTGAGTCTCTTCCTTCACTGCTAGGAAGCTCTCAAGGGGACCTACGTCTGGCAGTTCCTTCAACCTGCCTTACAAAAGCATATAATGGCAGGGCGCAGAGGGTCACGCCTGTAATTTCAGCACTTTGGGAGGCTAAGGCGGGTGGATCACCTGAGGTCAGAAGTTCAAGACCAGCCTGACTAACATGGTGAAACCCTACCTCTACTAAAATACAAAAATTAGCCAGGTGTGGTGGCAGACACCTGTAATCTCAGCTACTCCGGAGGCTGAGGCAGGAGAATCGCTTGAACCCAGGAGGCGGAGGTGGCAATGAGCTGAGATCATGCCATTGCACTCCAGCCTGGGCAACAGGAGCGAAACTCCATCTCAAAAAGCAAACAAACAATAACAACAAAACCAAAACATACACAAAAGCATATACTAATCTGCAAGATGGGAAAACTGATAGCTGAGACTGAAATACATCTAAAATTAAAGTTCACTTTAATGCATGGGCTTTATGGCATTTATTTTGGTACTTAAGATGTTTCTTTTCCTTCCTTTGTTCCTCTTCAGTCATAATCTAGGTATTTCAGATTCAGAGCGTGGGACATTTCTGTGCGTGGTTCATGCTTATATCACGACAAAAACAATACCATCAAGGGAAACACATTACTCTTTTTTTTTTTTTTTTTTTGAGATGGTGTCTCGCTCTGTCACCCAGGCTGCAGTGCAAGTGGCACAATCTTGGCTCACTGCAACCTCTGCCTCCTGGGTTCAAGCGATTCTCCTGCCTCAGCCTCCCAAGTAGCTGGGACTACAGGTGTGTGCCACCACACCCAGCTAATTTTTGTATTTTGAGTAGAGACGGGGTTACACCATGTTGGCTAGGATGGTCTCAAACTCCTGACCTCGTGGTCCGCCCTCCTCGGCCTCCCAAAGTGCTGGGATTACAGGCATGAGCCACTGCGCCCAGCTAAGGGAAACATATTACTTTTAAAACAGATGTGAAGTGTAAATTTTCTTAGCATGGTGATATAAAGTCATTGTGACACATTTTTCAACATCTGTTCAGGAAAGACCTCCGTCAAATCAGTTACTTTGTGAGTCTAAGTGCTAATTCCAGTGATAATTCCATTGCTAAAATATTTGAACTTTCATTTCAGAACTGCCTTCATGGTTCATTTGCAAGAGACACCTTTTAATCACAGCACATTTCGACCTAGCTCAGTCACCTGCTTTATTCACCAGTCTTGAATGTGCATGACTTTTAGATGTGTTTAAAAAGAAAAATCATAAAGATTTGCCATTTGAGCATACAGATTTGCCACCAAGAAAGAGATTCACTGACGAAGCCTAAAGGCAGTGCAAGTAATATAGATTCTAAAGGCAGCTTGAGCAACAGAAGCCATTGCTGGAAATAATTCTCCTGAGATGACTATTTTGAAAAAAAAAAAAAGTTCTAGAATATTTATGGGTGTAACATAGGTTAAAAAAATAAACTGTTAGTCACATTCTGAAAGATATGCATTAATGGACATATCCTAAATGGAGGGGAAGATTCTCTTAGACACAAAGCAACTGGTTTGCGTTTAAGCCTTTTTGGAAATGTCCCACCAGGCTTTCTGCCCTCAATGGTGACTTCCCACTAGCATCTCTGTGGAGTGCTTTTCCCTACATGTGTGCCTACACCAAGCCACAGCTGTTTCAGGAATTAGGGAGGAGATCTTGCTGGTCTCTGTGGGCTTTTGATGAAGAATTCCCTATGGCAGCTGTCTGAACCAAACAGGCACTCAAGACTATTTTCTATGCATTATTCTTACCCTAGATGGAATATTTCCAACCAGAAGCCCCCCACCCCCACGAAATACCTTCTTTCCATCATTTCATTTTCAGACTTTTAGCCATTTTTGAATAAGATGTGATCTCCCTGTTGAAGTTATTTCCAAAAGCATACTTAGCCTGAACCCTCAAAGACCAAAGCAACTGAGCCGCATCATCGCAAGTGTTGGCTCCGTGTTACCTGGGATGGGAGGGGACATGGCGGCCACCCAGTACCCCAACTGGGGGGCAATGTACGTCCACGTCAGCTGGCTGCCTTCCTGGTGCACAAGACCCAGACCGCTCTTCAGCCACGTTCCTGTGGAATTGAGAAAGAGATGTTAGCTACAAGCACACCAAGCTCCTTTGTAAGGCTTAAGCATATTGTAAAAGTCATCTTAAATATCTTAAATGTCACGTTTATGACCTATAAGATAACTGAGGTGGCCAAAGTGTCATCTAGGGACCCCAGGCAGCTTTCTGCAGAAATTCTTTTCAATTTCCTTTCAGGGAAAGATGAGCAACTTTAGTGTTCCTTTGCCTTCTCAATTAAATTACTTTCAGCCACTTTATCAAACACCCCTCCTTCCAAACACAGACGATTTTAGCAGAAGCCTTTGGACCTCAGAAGCAGAATAAAGGCAGCATGATGGGGGCTCGTGGGAGTGAAAAGAGAGGGGGAAATCAGGCTCCATTCAAGCTCTTTGTCCTTGAGCAAATTTTCTATCCACAACTGCATACTGGCTATATCAGAATTACCTACGGGTGTTTTGAAAAAATAGATCCCTTCATCCCATCTTTGCAAATTCTCACCCAGTAACCCTGGCTTCGGTGAGCAATTTTAAAAGCTTCCAGTTTGTTCCAATGCTGGGAAACGCCAACTACGTCAAGGTCTCTGCTGTATCTCCCAGTTATTACGTTAGCTAGCATCTGAGAGTAACGCGCACCTACTATGCACTAGCTATTTGCAGCATACGTGTCTTATAATACACCATCTATAATTCTCACCACAACACTGAAGACTGGTGAGTTATAAAACTTTTCCAAGGCCTCTCGGTGGCCAAGAGCGGAAAAGAACCTGGGGCTGCCTGACCTCGAGCCTGTGCTCTTTCTTCTGCTCTACCACGCTGCATTTCCTAGCAACCTTCCCAGCATTTGATTGCATTTTTACTTTGTGAAGTTTCTAGGAGCAGACTCATTGAAGAGGATGAACTTGCCCAAGGTTGTTGGGCTATTTCCCAGCCAAAAATGGATGCCTTTTCCTGGGCTCACCTGCAGAGAGCCTTGCTCTGAGGCCTGCGATGGCAGCTGTGGGGGTAGAAGGCCAGGGAGAGGCGGGGCGAACCTCTAGACGGCCCGCGCACCCACCCTGATCTATCAGCATGGAGATGTCGCGGCATACACAGGGCTCCTGCGCAGCTCACCTCCCTCCTATAGTCATCCCCACCTGAAATGGCCACGTGGGTGACCCTGTGGCTGTAAGGCCTAAATAGACCAGCTGTGCACCAAACGCAGGCATGTGTCATTTAACAGGGATACATTCTGAAAATGCATCGTTCATCGCTGTGTGAACATCATAGAGCGTCCTTATGCAAACCTAGATGGTGCCGCCTCCTGTACACCTGGGCTACACGGTCTAACCCATTGCTCCTAGGTTACAAACCCGTACACCATGTGACTGCGCTGAATACCATAGGCCACCGTCACACATGGGGAAGTGTCTGTGTATCTAAACATAGAAAGGGTACAGTAAAAATACAGAATTATAGTCTTAGGGGATCACCATTGTATATGTAGTTCGTCGTTGACCCAATCGTCATCCTGTGACTCATGCCTGTATTCTACCCAAATGCTTGCCTTGCTTAGCTACATGCCTCATGCAGAGGTGGCAGTAGTGGATTTTTTTTCCCCCTGAAGAAAGAAACAATACTTGGGCTGCTTCGAGGCCTTATCAGTTGCCATAGCAACATTCTAATGCAGTGGGTGGAAGAGGCCCTTGGTGATGCCTCCTTTGCAGCCGCTCCTCTGCTCACATGGCAGCTGCACACAGCAGGCAGGTGGGAGAGGTCGGGCATCAGCAAGGGCTCGGCATCACCCCCTTCCACAGGCTGGATCACTGTGCCAGCGGGTTTGGGCTGCAGAAAGAGCAGAATGTAAGCAAGGTTTTGCAAACGGGTATGAGGGAAGGGATGCCCGGTTCTGGTCCGTTTCCCAAAGCGCACCCTCCTAGAGATCACCCTGTTCTACAGGGCTACTCTACTAGGGGAGCGACAACGTAAGATGTTTGAGGAAAAGGGGCCAGGCATGGTGGCTCACGCCTATAATCCCAACACTTTGGGAGGCCAAGGCAGGAGGATCACTTGAAGCCAGGAGTTGGAGACCAGCCTGGGCAACAGTATACATACACCTCTTTAGTTCCTGCTAGGCAGTCTTCACAATGCACACCTCTATCCATTCTGTGACTCTGCCTGCAAATGTAGCTCCAACCTCATGTAGTTTTTCTCTCTTCCAAAAATCTACCCAGTCTTTCAAGATTCAAATCCAGCCCAGTGTTTTCCCAGAGGCCCTTCTAGGACACATGGGTCTTCCGTGTCTCGGCACATCCTGGACAAGTATTACTACATCATCCATTTGCCAAACACACATGTTGCTTTTGGTGGCCAGCCTGTGGGCCTCAGTCTTATCTCCTTTCTTAGACTGTAAACTCCATGGGTGTGGCCTGTGTCTCGTGTTGCTTTTGTCTTCTTCTCAGCGCCTAGAGATACCCATAGAGTAGGAACTCCAGAGAACTTCAGAATGAGTGGAAGCTACAGATGCAATAAAAAATAATATCTGGTAACCTGTGAAAGGCTGGGTGTGGTAGGCAGGGAAGGATATCCCCATGGCAGTGTGACCACGCCTGGGATGCTGCCCTTTCAAACTAAAGGGAACAGAACCAGCTGGGAAAGAGCCTACCATGGCTAAAGTGCGACACTGTTTGGGGTTTCAACAATCGTGCTGTTACTGGCAAAAGCATTTCATGCTTTCCGTGTTTTGTGGGAGGAAATAAGCCCCAGGGAGTACGGGAATTAACAAATTGTGTACTAGAAACACATGCTTCTCATGGTGGAATCCTGATGCCACCGTGGCAGGCAGACAGTTTCACCACCAGAGCAGTGGACACCAGGGCCAGGATTCTTTTTTTTTTTTTGAGATGGAGTCTCGCTCTGTCGCCCAGGCTGGAGTGCAGTGGCCGGATCTCAGCTCACTGCAAGCTCCGCCTCCCGGGTTTACGCCATTCTCCTGCCTCAGCCTCCCGAGTAGCTGGGACTACAGGTGCCCACCACCTCACCTGGCTAGTTTTTTGTATTTTTTAGTAGAGACGGGGTTTCACCGTGTTAGCCAGGATGGTCTCGATCTCCTGACCACGTGATCTGCCCGTCTCGGCCTCCCAAAGTGCTGGGATTACAGGCTTGAGCCACCGCACCCGGCCTGGCCAGGATTCTTTACTGGTGGTACCAGATGGCAGAGCACACAGACCTCTGCAAAGTCTCTTCTGCTGAATATGGGATCGCTGGGTGTTGCAACCAGGAAGGGTGCCCTTTCATCACATGGTGAGAGCCTCAGGTACTGCTGAGACACAGCAAGGGAGGAACCAGGTTGTTCCTGCTGCACGGACCAAAGAAAGCTCCACTGCAAGGCCTCTTAAGTCAGTCCACCTGCCCCTGAGTATGGAGACCTTGGGAAGGCATGTGTCATTTAACAGGGATACACTCTGAAAATGCATCGTTCATCGCTGTGTGAACATCATAGAGCGTCCTTATGCAAACCTAGATGGTGCCGCCTCCTGTACACCTGGGCTACACGGTCTAACCCATTGCTCCTAGGTTACAAACCCGTACACCATGTGACTGCGCTGAATACCATAGGCCACCGTCACACATGGGGAAGTGTCTGTGTATCTAAACATAGAAAGGGTACAGTAAAAATACAGAATTATAGTCTTAGGGGATCACCATTGTATATGTAGTTCGTCGTTGACCCAATCGTCATCCTGTGACTCATGCCTGTATTCTACCCAAATGCTTGCCTTGCTTAGCTACATGCCTCATGCAGAGGTGGCAGTAGTGGATTTTTTTTCCCCCTGAAGAAAGAAACAATACTTGGGCTGCTTCGAGGCCTTATCAGTTGCCATAGCAACATTCTAATGCAGTGGGTGGAAGAGGCCCTTGGTGATGCCTCCTTTGCAGCCGCTCCTCTGCTCACATGGCAGCTGCACACAGCAGGCAGGTGGGAGAGGTCGGGCATCAGCAAGGGCTCGGCATCACCCCCTTCCACAGGCTGGATCACTGTGCCAGCGGGTTTGGGCTGCAGAAAGAGCAGAGTGTAAGCAAGGTTTTGCAAACGGGTATGAGGGAAGGGATGCCCGGTTCTGGTCCGTTTCCCAAAGCGCACCCTCCTAGAGATCACCCTGTTCTACAGGGCTACTCTACTAGGGGAGCGACAACGTAAGATGTTTGAGGAAAAGGGGCCAGGCATGGTGGCTCACGCCTATAATCCCAACACTTTGGGAGGCCAAGGCAGGAGGATCACTTGAAGCCAGGAGTTGGAGACCAGCCTGGGCAACAGTATACATACACCTCTTTAGTTCCTGCTAGGCAGTCTTCACAATGCACACCTCTATCCATTCTGTGACTCTGCCTGCAAATGTAGCTCCAACCTCATGTAGTTTTTCTCTCTTCCAAAAATCTACCCAGTCTTTCAAGATTCAAATCCAGCCCAGTGTTTTCCCAGAGGCCCTTCTAGGACACATGGGTCTTCCGTGTCTCGGCACATCCTGGACAAGTATTACTACATCATCCATTTGCCAAACACACATGTTGCTTTTGGTGGCCAGCCTGTGGGCCTCAGTCTTATCTCCTTTCTTAGACTGTAAACTCCATGGGTGTGGCCTGTGTCTTGTGTTGCTTTTGTCTTCTTCTCAGCGCCTAGAGATACCCATAGAGTAGGAACTCCAGAGAACTTCAGAATGAGTGGAAGCTACAGATGCAATAAAAAATAATATCTGGTAACCTGTGAAAGGCTGGGTGTGGTAGGCAGGGAAGGATATCCCCATGGCAGTGTGACCACGCCTGGGATGCTGCCCTTTCAAACTAAAGGGAACAGAACCAGCTGGGAAAGAGCCTACCATGGCTAAAGTGCGACACTGTTTGGGGTTTCAACAATCGTGCTGTTACTGGCAAAAGCATTTCATGCTTTCCGTGTTTTGTGGGAGGAAATAAGCCCCAGGGAGTACGGGAATTAACAAATTGTGTACTAGAAACACATGCTTCTCATGGT